TGCCATCCAGGCCCAGGTAGGATGACAGGCCACCAAATCTCACTTGTTTCTCTGTCCAGCGAGTATTTCCAAGCTCTCCTGTTGCTGACACTCTAGCAAAGAAGACCTAGCCCTGTGTCGCAACGTCAGCTGGCAAAAGCCACAGGCCGGGAGCTCTGATGCCACCAGGGGTCAGGGGCTTGTCTTCTGTGCTTGCCTGGGGTCGGCAAAGCCCAGAGCAGCCGGGCTCGAGGTCCACGGGAGGACCAGGCTGTGACTCTGAGCCTATGCTTACAGCGGAACCCTAAAAACCAGTGAAGCAATGCCGGGTCTGAGGGCCAAAGGCAGCCTCACGGCCGACCCTTGCTGCCTGCAGTGAGGTGTCCAGAGCTTTGGGCCCTGGCAGGAGGGGCAGGGGAGCCCAAGAACTCTGATGCAAACTGAATTCAGATGAAATGAACCAGGGCAGAACTCTTCTTTCACCAGATGGTCTGTCTAAACAGGCAACTTTATGTCTCAAAAACTGTAAGTTCCCGAGGATATGAGGTGCATGGAGCAAGGCCAGGAAGGGTGAGGCAGCACTCTTGGGAGAAGCTCTCTGGGATCGCTACCCAGAACTGCAGCTGCTTTATGCTGCAGGAGTGGCTGTATATCTTCTCTGCTAACAACCAGGAGGGCAGGGGGTGGGAGCAGGTGGGGAGCTGGCTGATTTGTAGAACGTCATTTATTTCACCCAAAGAAAACTGCTCTCTGGGCCTCCCACTGGCCCTGACGCCCTCAGCTGGAGCCCTCATCCTACCCCCCAACCATTTCCCAACCATTGACCCCATGAACCTGTTCCATGTGCCAACTGATGAAGATTTACCCAGACACCATGAGGACCAGCAGGAGTGCCACGCCTGCTTCCTAATCCCTCTGTGAAGTGCTTAGAAGAGGCCACTTTCTCGGCCACTCCTGTCCTATTCTCCCAACTGCACCAGAAACCCTGCTTCCACCAACGGCTGGCCCTCAACAGAGAGAGGGAGCTGGCTTCAGAAGCAGAAGGGGCCCAATAGGCAAGGTACTGATGGCAGCCACAGACAGGCCCCCGGAAGCAGGCAGGCACTGATGGGAAAAGAAAGCTGAAACAAGTGATTAGCATCCATACCAGGGATCAGTGTCCACACCAGGGACTAGCATCCACGCCAGAGACCAGCATCCAAGACAAGGACCAGCATCCATGCTAGGGATCAGCACCCATACCAAGGAGCAGCATCCATACTAAGAACCAGTGTCCAGACCAGTGACCAATGTGAATACCAGGAATCAGCATCCATACTGGGGATCAGCATCCATTCCAGAGATTAGCGTCCATGCCAGGGACCAGCAATCATACAAAGGATCAGTGTCCATTCCGGGGGCAGCGTCCATACCAAGAGACTGGCGTCCACACCAGGGACCAGCACCCATACCAGGGGCCAGCATCCATGCTGCATGCATCTTCTCTGAGCCAAGACTGAGTTGGTGGCCAGGCTGGCCAAGGACAAACTGTGCAGTGGCCAATTTCCACATGGGCATAGGTAAAGCAGGAGTCCTTTTACCTCCCCCAGGTGGGAGGCTTGGGTGGAAAAATTCTTACAAAATTTCTAAACAATGAAAAGAGACATACTATACATGTGAGCAGAGACAGAGCCAGCACAGTAGGAAGGGTCCACATGCATGAACTCCCAGCACCTCTGTTACTGGAGTCAGCTGATCCAAAGCAGAGGTTATGCACAGAGCCTTTGGGGTGATGGGAGTATGGGTCCTCCATCTTGACTGTGCAGCTGTTCTCGTGAATGTGCACATTTCTCAGTACTCATGCAACAGAGGGTTTACCATGTGTATGCCATATCACATATTGATTATACTGCAAGTATAGTTGTTTAGAAAAATTAAGACAAAAGTACACCCACCTATGAAGAAAATGTAATCCACACAGACTGTGGACTGTAGACACGCTGGGAGGGTCTGTGGAAGGGATGTTGTCGCGGGACGCCAGCCCTCACTGTTCAGCAGCTGGCCTGCCAGGTCCTTCACTGAACCCGTGACCTTTCTGTGTCATGGGGAAAGGAAGGAACTATTCCACCCTTTAAAATGTCTATGAAACACCCAACACACAGTGGGTCGTCCCTGTGGACAGCAGGTGCCAGGTGCCACCACTGAATAGATAAAGTAGATTAATTCCGATCACTATTTTCACTAATCAAACTGGAGAATTAATTTCTTAATCATGATTCATTTTGTTGCTGAAGAACTGGCGAGATTATAAATTGGTACAAATTTTCTAGTGGAAATTTATGAATGGTTAGAGTCTTTAAATGTTTATTTCCTTTAGCAAATGAATTTCAATTCTAGAAATTTATCATAATGAATAAATGACACAATCACAAACATTTATGCACAAAGATGTTCAATGAAAGATTATTTAGACTGACAGCTATCAAATGTCTACAAACAGGGTAGAGCAAATATATGAGGGCACAGCTAAGGAGTAGAACAGTCTTCTTCCAACAGCCAGGCTCATCCCACTGAGGACAGAAGAAAGCCTCGGAGACCAGGAGGGTCCAGCCACCTCACACCCAAAGGGACACCTCCCAGGCCATCAAAAGAGAGCCACCCAAAGATCACCTGAAACAGCAGATAAATAAAAGTAGCATCCTTGGCTTTGGAATGAGCAGGAAGAGAAGAAAGGTGAACACATAACCTCCAAGTTCTGTTTGGGTCGGTTTGTTAGTATCAGTGTGTTCACCTGGGGACATACCAAATCCATTCAGGGAAACGCAGCCACCAGGACTGACTCACAGGGTGGCTTCACCACGAGCTGTGGAGGACAGAGCCCACCTCCCTTTCTCAGTCTCATGGAACAGCCCTACCTTCCACAGGGTCCGACTGGGGCTGGGAAGCAAGTTTATGCCATCAGAACAGGGTGAGAGTCAGCAGAGAGGCCTGAAAACTGGGACCAAGGGCAGCACCTCCTCCAGGAAGGCAGAAGTGGCCAAGAGGGGCTGTTGCTTCATTCAGAGGGGACCCCACCCATCGCCGTGCATCTCTCGGTCAGAATGTCCCCTACAGCCCAGTGCCCATGATTCTGCCGGGCCAGGATTGTGCAGTTGGGACCTTTCCCTCTGCTGGCCCAGATAGCAGTGCAAAGGCTCACCAGCCTCCTTCCCTCTCCTGGGTCAAGAGAAACAGAAAGGAACCTCACCTGCCTTTTTCACCTCAACTGAAACTCCTCCTGAATTTCAGATGTTTTCCACTCATAAGCATGCCCTTTTAAATGTTGCATTTAACTTGACTTTTTATTACCAAGTTGTTTCTAAGCTTCTAAGGAAGGGCTGAAAGGCACAAGTCCTGGGCATCCACTCTAACTCTTGGAGTCATGTGCACAGGCCACGCGTCTGTGAGTGGCAAACACAGAAGGCACTCCCTCCCACTTGAGATGCAGGAGCACAGCCCGAGGGGACCGTGGAAACATCACTGATGCTGTGAGAGCACATCACAGGTGACTTCCGTGCAAGTGCAGGTGACTTGAGACGTCTGGCCAAAGCCATACGCGGCACTGCTCTGCCCTGAAAGCGGCAGAAACCCTCAGCCAGTTCCGTCTCCAAAGGTGAGTTCACAGTCATGACGGCTTTTGTCAAGTGCCCAAGACGAACACATTCTCCCTTCTGATCCAGTCATGTTAAAACTCAAGTTAACTTAAAAATTCACTGACATTTGTTAATACTGATGTGAGCGTGTGAGAGGTAAAGCCAAGTTTGTACACAGCACCGGCGTCACCAGCAGAAGCTGATGGCAGAGAATTCAACCCTGGCCTCATAGCGCTCTAGGTCTTCATGCTTCCTCCCACTCGACACTTCTGGGGTTTTCAGAGGCCACATCACAAGGAAATGCAGTCGCCCCAACAACCTGCTGCCAGGCCAGCCAGCCTTCTGATCCCACACAAACCTCCCAGCAGCTTTGGGCTCTCCCCTCTTACCCTGACCCAGTTCCCGTGTCAGGAGTGCCGTTACTGACACTTTGCTGTCTCTTTGTGTGCATTAGAAAAGGAAGACCCTGAGTCTGTGTCGCCGTACTTTTTTAAGCACTACGTCATGCTGGCACCTTCAGGGACCCCATTCTCGTTTCTTTTAGGACTGTAATCTCCAGAATATGGAATTGGAGAAGCCAGATGCGGGGCAGTGGATGTTTCCTTAAGAAACGAGAAAGATAAGAAAGGGAGAGTGTTGTTTTTCAAGTTTTTTTTTAGCAAAAAAAGGCAAGAATGACATCAGCTGCACCTCCCAGGGTGATGCCAGCCAGATAAGTGTCTCCAAAACAGAAATGTTTATTCGAGCAAATGGATGTCATTCAAGGTAGTTCTGGGGGAAATGCTAATATTCTGCTTGGACACATACCATCTTTAAGAAGTTTACCTCTGAATTACTTCCAAACAACCAATACCCAACATTGTCGAGTGTACTGGGGTGTCTACACTTGTCATGAGAGGCTTGATGTCAACAGAAGCACAGCCTGTACATCCCACATCCAAGGCCCCAGCTCAGCCCAAGTTCCAATCCCACTCTTCTTGATGTTGCTATAGACACCCAGCTGCCCTTTAGGAAAAACACTTAACTTCCCTACAGGTTTTCTACAAAACTCATACCCTGAGAAATTACTAAATGCATATGGCTTTGTTTGCTGGATACCAAGCAAATATCCTCATAGCACATTTGTGTCTAGGTGACCATTTCTTTATATAAAAACAAAGGAATATAGTCTCCCCCTCAGATAATATCTATGTTTGGCTTCATGCTGTGGTCCCAAAGTACCAGTAACAGGAGGAGGAATAAAACCTCTGTCACGACCAGTCCTCACAAACTCAGATACACTTCCCTCCCATGCAGGTGAGTGTGCACACACACAACAGCACTCGCTCAAGCTCCAAGATGGGCCTGGAGGCAGCGAGAGACCTGGCTGGCCCCAGGGACACACACCGTCCACAATCACTGCTCACACACCTCAGCTGCAGGCCAGCTGGAGGGCAGCGCTGGGCCAGTCCAGGTGCCTTGGCGGACGGCCCGGTTGGGTTCTCGCTGCCCACAGGCTCTGCCAGCTCGAGGGCCTAGAGGGCCCGCAGGTGGTAGGTGGCGGTGGAGGCTTGGGACTGGGTGGGGGTGGGGGGTGGTGCAGAGCCACGTCCAGCCGCCGGAGTGGCCAGAGCTGTGAGCTGAATGGACCGTGGGGAGGACAATACAAAGGGAGGCAGAAAGACTGTCAGGAGTTGGGTCACACTGAGACGACAGACCAAGGTAGGTCTGTGCAGATTATGCTAAAAGCAGCCGGAAGACATTAGCTGGTTTTAGCAGGAGCAACGCTCTTGGTCTGTGCTTTGGGAGCCTCCGGAGGTGCATGGAGAGCAGGGTCCTGCAGAACTGCCCGAGGAAGAGCATCACTGTTCAGCAGTGCGGGCTGTCTCCGAGCCCAGCCAGTGAGGGCAGAGCCTGGATCTAGCCTGAAAGCCCTGAGCAAACCCATTGCATCTCTATCTGTTGGATTCGATCGTTTGGTCTCACAAGGCTTCTTGTCAGAGACAGAAAGGCTCCCTGAAGACCACTGTGCGGTGCACGCACTTCTATGAGAGACAGCGTTGCACACACACCAGTGAGTGTGTCATCATAACGCTTCCCTCATGGTAAGTTTCTGCTCGTGCACAGGAGGAGAGGACGGTGCAGCCCCACGTGCACCCCCCTCCGCTCCTCTGCTGCCCGCTGCCGGGCTTCTCGTTTCACGGGCTCCCCACCCATTGCCAGCCACATTTCTCGTTGTCTTTAAGCAAATCCCAGACACAGTATTGTTTCATTCATAATATTTCAGAGTTTTCTCTAAAAGTTAAGTACCCTTCTCTGTTTAATGTAGCAGTAATTTACAAGTGCTGTTTAATATCATTAAAATGCTCAATCAGCATTTACATCCATCCAGGTGGCTTGTGAATTTTTTAAACTGTTTTTTAACCAAGTTGCTTCTAATCTGTGGGTTCCCTGGTCCTTCTCCTTTTGCTGAGTAGATCCTAGTGATGTCCTGACTGTGTCCTCAGCCCCTTGAACTCCTGTAAACTGGTAACTAGATCAAGACGTCTGGTCAGATTCAAGTTCAGTTTTCTTGACAAAATATTTCCTCAATGGTGTTGAAAAAGACCTATACAAAAAGGTCTTAATGACCCGGATAACCATGATGGTATGGTCACTCACCTAGAGCCAGACATCCTGGAGTTCGAAGTCAAGTGGGCCTTAGGAAGCATCACTATGAACAAAGCTAGTGGAAGTGATGGAATTCCAGCTGAGCTATTTCAAACCCTAAAAGATGATGCTGTGAAAGTGTTGCACTCAATATGCCAGCAAATTTGGAAAACTCAGCAGTGGCTACAGGACTGGAAAGGTTCAGTTTTCATCCCAATCTCAAAGGAGGGCGATGCAAAGAATGTTCAAACTAGCACAGAGTTGGGCTCGTTTCACATGCTGGCAAAGTAACGCTCAAAATCCTTCAAGCTAGGTTTCAACAGTACATGAACTAAGAACTTCCAGATGTACAAGCTGGGTTTAGAAAAGGCAGAGGAACCAGAGATCAAATTGCCAACATCATTTGGTTATAAATAAAGCAAGGGAATTAAAAAAAAAATCTACCACTACTTCATTGGCTACACTAAAGCCTTTGACTGTGTGGATCACAACAAAATATGGAAATTCTTAAAGCAATGGGAATACCAGACTATCTTACCTGTCTCCTGAGAAACCTGTATGCAGGTCAAGAAGCAACAGTTAGAACCAGACATGGAATGATGGACTGACTAAAAATTGGGAAAGGAGTACGTCAAGGCTGTATATTGTCACCCTGCTTATTTAACTTTTATGCAAAATGCCAGGCTAGATGAATCACAAGCTGGAATCAAGATTGTAGGGAGAAATATCAGTAACCTCAAGTATGCAGATGATGCCACTCTTATGGCAGAAAGTGAAGAAGAACTAAAGAGCCTCTTAATGAAGGTGAAAGAGGAGAGTGAAAAAGCTGGCTTAGACTCAACATTCAAAAAACTTAAGATCATGGCATCTGGTCCCATCATTTCATGGCAAATAGAAGGGGAAAAAGTAGAAACATGGCAGATTTTATTTTCTTGGGCTCCCAAATCACTGCAGATGGTGACCGTGACCACAAAATTAAAAGACACTTGCTCCTTGGAAGAAAAGCTATGACAAACCCAGACAATGTATTAAAAATCAGAGACATCACTTTGCCAACAAAGGTCCTTATAGTCAAAGCTATGGTTTTTCCAGTGGTCGTGTACAGATGTGAAAGCTGAACCATAAAGAATGCTGAGCATTGAAGAATTGATGCTTTTGAACTATGGAGCTGGAGAAGAGTTTTGATAGTACCTTGACAGTAAGGAGATCAAACCAGTCAATCCTAAAGGAAATCAAACCTGAATATTCACTGGAAGAAAGGACTGATGCTGAAGCTGTAGCTCCAATACTTTGGTCACCTGATACAAAGAACCAACTCATTGGAGAAGATCCTGATGCTGGGAAAGATTGAGGGCAAGAGGAGAAGAAGAAGGGTGTGGCAGAGGATGAGGCGGTTAGATGGCATCACCGACTCAAGGGACATGAACTTGAGCAAACTCCAGGAGATAGTGAAGGACAGGGAAGCCTGGCGTGCTGCTGTTCATGGGGTCACAAAGAATCGGACATGACTGAGCGATTGAACAACAAGGGTGTTGTTGGCTGACTGCTCAACGACACAGAGCAGGTGTGTGGGTTTCGCTCTCTCCTGGGCCTGTTTGGGGTTTGAGCACAGGTCATACTGTTTACATCTCAGCCACTGGCTGCTTTCAGGTTCACAAACACACAAACGAGAAACCAGGGTTACTGAGAGGAGCTGGTTCTAAGGCCGAGCCAGGAGGGTTTGTGAGCCTGAAAGTAAGACACACCTGGGAACGTAGGGTCAGCTGAGGAGCCGGCAGGAATGGGAACCACCCCACCCTGGGCAGCAACGGCCCATGAGCCTCTGAATAAGAATAACAGCAGTTATTCTCCCTACACTGAGGATAGGAAGGGCCCACTTGTCACTGCAGAGGCCGACCAGGTAGGATGGAAGGAGGATGGATGTGACAACCATCGTCATAATGAGAACTCTCTGCACTACACTCACAACATTTCCGTAAGTCCAAAAGTATGTCCATATGAAAAGTTAAAGGAAAAGGCCTAAGGAAAAGGATGTGAGCCTCACCTTACTTACTGGTCTCACTACAGCCCCAGAAGGTGGCATGTGGAACATGGGGTTGAGGTCTGCAGGCGGGCCCCTGGGCGGGGGTCACCCACACTCGGGTGCTCCTCAGAACTCGAGGGCCAGGTCCAGCACCAGCTTCACCCCTGCCGCAGGGACCCACCTTTTCACCTCCTCATCTCAGTCATCACTGCTCCTTCCTGCCTGGTTCCCAGCGGGCTCCTTGGAGGACGTGCCCCAAGGCTGATCATGCTGGGCGTCGCTTGTGTGATGGATCACAGCTGGTCTATAAATACCCGTGTGTTTATATGGATGTTTTTCATCAATGTACCTAAATTTCCCATTGCAAATGACATAAACCCTGAAAGCTGAGGGACCATCTGGTTAAATGTCAAATTAAAACGTCAGTCTCAGAAGGGACCTAGGGAAGCACGTGCCCAGACAGCTGGCAATTCCAAAGCTGCATCTTTAAGTTTCCAGTTTGCTCTCAGTCAGGTTACTTATTTGCCCAGATGAAAGATGAATTTATTCCCTGATTTTATTAGAAGGTGGGGAAGATGAAAGTGAGATTATTTTTAAGTACACGGAGGCTCTTTCATTGAATGGACTTCACAAGAATCCCAGAAAATTCCATATTCTTGAAAATAGATATGCATTTATTATCCAAGTCAGGTCACTTCTGAAGGTGAGAGGAAGCTATGAATGACTCCAGGTTAACAAGAGTCAACGGGACTGAGTTTACCCCACTTTTTCACCAGATCCTGTAGACTATTGAAAGAAACCTCACTTATTCCAGAATATGCTGCTACCCCTTAGAGGAAGCAGGGGGCAGTTCGAAGGCAGAGGACGTTTTGAAGCCTAAGTCTTCCTTGGCCACACTCGGGCCTGATGCTGATATCTCTCCATGGATGAGGTCACTCTGCTGGAGTCCCTCCTTGAGCAGTTATTCCACAATAACCAGCCAGAGCGATGGGATGGATGGGGTTGTGTCTCGGATGCAGGAGCCCCAGCCAGGTGGCTTCTGAGTACTGTCTGGCCTGATGTAGCTTCCTGGTCTCCATCCTCTATGCACACAAGGGTGGGCTTGAAGACTGACCATCCTCCGCAGGAAGAGTCCAGAAATAAATTCATCATGGTCACTGGGCAAAGGCAACCTCTTTCCTCTGACCGTTCCCTCCAACTCCAGAAATAAACCACTTCTCCCCAACACTAACTTGTCTTAGAGAGCTGACCATCCACACAGATCCTTCAGAGCCACCAAACTGCTCCAGCGGTGGGGGTCTGTTAACTCCCATCTCATTCTCAACAAGAAGCTGCGTTTGTGACAAACAATGATGGCACTCGGGTCTAGAGCCAGATGCCCAGATCTGAACCGACTTTGCCCCTGACCAGCCCCGAGTAACTCCACACCCCAAGCCTCCGTCTCCTCGGCCATACAAGGAAGCCACAGTGGAGCTCTTGGGGGATCCATGAGATAATTCAGGAGGAGCAGGCACCTGGCAGGTAGTGACCAACCACTCAGGAAGACAGGATTTCTGTCCTTGCTGTTTGTCCTGTGGCTGAATTCGCTACAAATAAACCCACAAGCAAATGGATGGGTAAGTAGTATTCTAGAACCAAAAGCTTTTGCCATGGCAACACTGAAGTGCTTCACAGGTATTTAATCCAAAATGAGGCTTGTTCCAATCCTGATGAAAGTAAGGCTCAGAGGCAGGTGACCAGCTCCAGGGTTCTCGGCTCTGACCAGACACCAGGTGCAGGGGCTCGGGCCTCGTGCTGCCCTGGAGTCCAGGGGCTGCTTAGGAGCAAGACGATCCACAGCAAGGCACTTGCCCCTTCTTCATCCTGATGGCAACTCCTGGTGGGCTCTTTGAGGGGCAGAGGAGCAAGGGAAGTTGCTCGTCATCAATTCAATGAAACTACGAAAACAGCAGAGGCCGCGTCTGTCCTCCGGGTCTTAGATGAGTGTACTCGGAGGAAGGGTGAGTAAGCACACCTCTGGATGTTGTTCATAATATTTATTTTGGAAAAATATTTTAAAAAGGAATTTCTTCATTAACAAAACAGTAAAAAACTCAAATAACATTTGCACAATATTCCATAAATACATTTATATACAAAAAATATAGTCACATTGACCCGAAGTGCCTTTGTACATATTTACCAAAAATTTAAATTATAAAAAATGAACATCACAAAATACTCAAGCTTTACAGATATCATGAAAAATATTTTTACAAGTCCAAAAAATAACGCACATTTTTTCCACCTAGAAAAACACATTTTAGTATCAAAAAGGACAATAAAGGCAGTGTTTGTGATTCTAATTCAAGAGAAGACTGGCTCATAAGAATCCAAAATATACACTTCAGGCAGTGCGTGCTTCTTACGTAGTGATCAAGTCCATTCATTTAAATATATATTTTTTAAAAGCAACTGTCCATAGTGCAATGGAAACGTCCTAGAGGCAGAGCAGCAGCCGCGGGAGCACCCGCCACCCTGGCAGGAAGAGGACCTGGCTTCCAGCAGCAGTCAGGAGCATGCCCGCTCCTCCCAGCAGCATCGTCGGGGCCGACACCTTGTTCTGCAGAAACGGAACTTGCCCCGTCACCTCCACGTCACACCTAGAGGGACCAGGAGACAGGGGCGGTTAGCGCAGGCAGGAGGCTCCGTTCTGGCTCCCCGGCTGCAGGCGGGCCCCGCAAGCCCTCTCTGACCTCAGTGGCGATGACACACTCGTCCTGCTCCTCGGATATGACATACACTGACTGGTACTTTGTGTCTTTTGAAGCAGAATACACAGAGTCCGGCCTTTTTCTTTCAGATGCTTCTCCACTAGAGGGAAAATGAAAGAGCCACAGTCAACACACAAAAACATTTTTGAACAGGAAAATGACCAGAGCTTGGAGGAACACACCCAGCTGGCCCCCCTGCCCAGCCTATCCTGCACATTCCTTGAGTGTCGGGGCGCTCTCTTCAGCTGGCTCTCCTGCCCAGGCTTTCCTGCCCATCCCTTGGATTTCAGGGTGCCCTCCCCGGCTGGCCCCCCTGCCCAGCCTGTCCTGCACACCCCTTGGGTGTCGGGGCACCCTCTCCAGCTGGACCCCTGCCCAGCTGGCCTCCCCATGTGCCCCCTCCAGACCGAAGCACTCACCCTCTGAGTGTCGGGGTGCCCTTCTCCTCCCCCGCAGAGCCCTGGGGCTGGCACTTGGCATCACGCTTGCCGTGGGGGTCCGCCGTGGCTGCGGCACCCTTGAGGCCCTGCAGCAGGTTGTAGCCCACGGCGGGGTCTCGAGCCTTGAGGCCGTTTTTCTCCACGCCGGGCTCGGCGTGAAAGTCTGCCTTTTTGTTGGTGTTCTTGATCTGTGTGGCCCCGATGACGCTAACAGAGATGTCCTTCTCCCGCTGGCGGTTGGCCAGGTTGTTCATGGTCTCTGTCTCCCCCCGGCAGGGGTCTGCGGGGGGCCGGCGCTTCTGCAGCCTCAGCCGCACGCAGACCACCGTGGCGGCACAGCCCAGCAGCAGCGTGAGGACCAGCACCACACCCGCCCCGACGGCCACCCAGGGGAACGGGCCGGCCTGGCCCTCCACGTACTTCTCTGTGAGGTCCACCACCACGGGGCCCGGGGGCGGCTCGGGGAGCAGGAACTGGCAGTTGGGGCCCCCGTAGCCCCGGGCGCACTCACAGAGGTAGCGGAAGGCCCGCTCGTGGCAGGTGGCCCCGTTGTGGCAGGGTGCGTGCTCACACCTGCTGACGGGGGCACTGCAGTTCCTGCCCGTGTACCCGGGGGGGCAGGTGCAGGAGTACTCGTTCACGCCATCCCGGCAGGTGCCCCCGTGGGCACACGGGGAGGAGGCACAGTCATCCACGTTGTCATCACAGTGCCTCCCGGAGAAGCCAGCCTGGCAGCGGCAAACGTACGTGTCGCCGAGGTCCACGCACTGCGCACCTGGGACATAGACAGGGCGGCAGCTCGTCACCTGGGAAACATCCTGGGGCATCTGCTGCCTGTGCCACCAGGCCGCACACCAGAGCAGAGAGAGGCCAGCACTGAGACAACACGCGTCACATGCCAGCCCATGGCAAGGGTGGGCAGGGGGCAGGGTTCTGGCCCAAATCCGCAAATTACATAAAAAATACAGGCTGACACCTCCTGACATGCCCCAGGCAAAGCGCTTCGCCTGCACTGCTGAATTCATCTTCACAGCAAGCCAGGAGAGGACCCAGTTCACAGATGAGGAAACCAAAGCTTAAAGAGGATGATGCACTTGCCGTGGTTTCAGTTAGTGACGAGCAAGAATTGAAACAGAAAGAAAGAGAAAAGAAGAAAGGCAGGGAGGGGGCTAGGGATGGGTCTTTGTCCTTCCAGAGCCAAGTCTGCTAACCCTCCTTATTTTTCCTCTCTAAAGATTAAGCATCCAATGCTCTATTGGTTCAATGGTTGGAAACAAACCGGAGAAAGAGGGTGACCCAGGGCGGCCTGCAGAGCACATGGAGAGCAAAGCAAGGCGACTCCTCTCTCGTCCACGGCCACACCCAGCGCAGAAGCGCCCAAGCCGGTCCGGGCTGTCTGGGCCCCACTGTCCCCGCCCGGGGGTTTCCGTGGGGCATCCCGCCCACTCGTGGAGACCACGCAGCCTCACCAGCCGGCTCTGCTTGCTGACTGAGCGGAGTTGGGCTGGCCCCTAAACATGTAGCGGCTGGGCTGTTGCGAGGGTGGGCCCGCCAACACTGGGGTCTCGAGGCGCTGAGGAGCGCAGGACTGCACGCGAGTCACTGCATCTCTGCCTGAGCCGGTCCTGCCTGGAAGGGACACTCCTGCCTGCCTTTCTGGCTCCCTGGGTGTTTCCAGACTCAAGGATAAGACGTCTCTGAAGTTTCTCATTGTTCAGACAAAAAGGCTTCTGAGACTCAAGGCAGCTCACAGTGATGAACTCAGCTCGAAACTAAACCCACATGCTTCTCATCAATGTGGACCCCCGGACAAAGTCTCAGGTGGGTCAGGCGGCCCCCTTACCATTGGAACAAGGCAAGGAACTGCAGGAATCCATCTTCTTCTCACAATTAAAGCCGGAGAAGCCCGCAGGGCAGTGGCAGGTATACCCTCCCTCGGGGTTGTCGGAGCACCGGCCCCCATTGAAGCAGGGGCCATCGGCACACACCATGGCACTCAGCTCGCAGACCCTGCCGTAGAAGCCAGGTGGGCAGGTGCAGGAGTAGCTGTTCTCAAGGTCCTGAGCAACGGAGAAGACAAAGAAAGCTTTCCTAGTCGCTCCCAAGGACCCACACGATCTGCCTCAAACCAGGGCTCCCGGCTCACACAGTCTGTCTCAAACCAGGGCTCCCGGCTCGACGGGAGAGCCCGCGGTGGCTGGACTCACCGTGCAGCTCCCTCCGTTCCTGCAAGGCCCGGCGCTGCACTCGTCCACCTCTGTCTCACAGTTGGCCCCCGTGTACCCAGGCCGGCAAGAGCACGTGTAGCTCCCTTGGCCCGTGTTGGTGCAGGTGGCCCCGTTCCTGCAGGGCTTGTGGTGCGTGCAGTAGTTGAGGTCTGCAAGGGTGGAGATGGGGAGAGGAGGAGAGATGCGGGAGATGTCCTCGCCTGTGACCGAGCCCAGGCAGGCAGGCTGCGGGGGCGGAAGCTTACCCTGGTTGCAGAAAAGGCCCCCCCAGCCTTCCTGGCAGTTGCATTGCCAGGGCTGCTGGCAGGTGCCGTGGAGACAGCCTGGGTACCGAATGCACTGGTCGCAGTACCGACCCTGCCAGCCCACTCTGCACCTTAGGAGAGAGGACAGTCAGTGGACGCTGCTGCTGGGTTCACAGCAACACCTTCCCTGAGCACAAGACGTCACCTCCAACAGCACCAGCACTGCTGGTCCTCATGAGGCTTGGGCAGTCCTCGGGATCTTTAAACCCCAAGGACAGCTCAGTCCTGCCTCAGAGGGTCTGATTCAGCATGAGGGTCAACCAGGGCAACATCTCTAGGTGATTCTAACCTACTAAACACTCTCCTTTTCTCTGCCAATTCTTTTAAAATCTCATCTGTAAGTTCTACAGCCACTGAGTAGCTCAGGTGAACGACTACCTTGACTCAACAACTGCCCAGGTATGCATTAAGTAGAAACACCAGGAAAAAAAGCTCCCCCACCCCGCAAACAGCTAATCTTACCTGAGTTTTTCAAAGGATCATCTAGAGACACTTTGCTAATACACTAGGTGTAAAAGGACAACAAGGAAAAGAAAGAAGCAACTTTTGCAAACTTACTTGCATTCCCCTGGCTTGTCACAAACCCCGTGCTGCTCATCGCACCCTGGCAAACAGATGGCTGCAGGAGGGAAGGCACGGGGTCAAGCCCACCAGAGCGCTCCAGCACGAGGGAGCTGTGAGCTGTGCCCAGCGGGCCAGCGAGCCCCCGGCCCTGGCATCGGACTTTACTCAGCGAGAGGAGCATTCTTCTTAACACAGCAGCTCAAGGACAAAAGAGCGCGGAAGCCCCCACCCCCACAGGCCCCTTTTCTTCTAAGAGAGGGTCAGAAGTCCTTCCCCCTCCTCCTCCCCCACTTCCCAATTCTATGCACAAAGCTCCACCTCTTAATACCCAGAAAGTGTGTGTGTAGATAAGGGTGGACAGCTGGTATGCAGAGTACCAGGGCAAGACAGCTGCTCTATTGTCTGTTCTCTCCCAGCAGCTGCCCCAGTGCAACAATACCGGCCTCCCCCTCACACCCCATGCCCCCATCCCTCACACACACCCCTAGCATGTACACACACACACACACACACACACGCACGTGCACCCTTTCCGCCAATGGGAACAGGCGTGCGTCCCAGCCGCCTATCCCCGGAGAGATCTAATCGATGGCACGCGCGAGCTGGGGGCAGGGAGAGACTCCAGTGTTTGAATAAGAAGAAAAAAGTTTAAGTTTATGGCTACCCCACGGCGAAGGAGAGGGCGGGTAGCCAGGAGGGAGGCAGCAGGCAAGCCTGAAGTCCCGGAGGCAGGGGGGAGGGGGCGGTGCTGGAGGCTGAGGCTCGGGGCTGGCTTCCTTCTCCTGGCGAGGAGACTCATTAACGAGCCGCCCCACAAGTTTTCAGGACAACAGAGCCAGCTCGGGCCAAGGCAAGCTCAAAGGAGCCGAAAGCTGAGCGGGTTGAGCGGGCTGAGCAACCATGACGCTGGAGGCAGGACCAAATCAGAACTGAGAAAGTGCCCCTCCTGGCGAGGGGTTCTACCCTACAGGAGAAGGTTCCTGGGCTCAGGGCAGGAGGAGGAGCCCTGGGGTTTCTGGGGGAGGCTCCCCACCCGACTCTGGGGAGATGTGGAGTGAGACGGGGGGCAGTGAGGCACCTGGGTCCAGCTGAACTAGGCCCAGGAGCCAGCCGGGTCCCGAAGCCTGCACCTGTGAGAACACAGAGCTGTGGGCAGGCAGGGCCGGAGTCACTCCTGTGAAGGTATTTCCTTCCCGGGTAGGGTGCTCTGTGAGCACCCCACAACAGGGCAAGCGAGCCCCTCCCCAGGCAGAGCTGGCAGACTCACGTCCCCCAGAAGTGAAACTGTCACAAACAGTGGGATGTTTTTAAATACACTGGCTCTGCAGAGAGGCCGAGCACACCAACTCTGGAGAGAATGAAGCTCTCTTCAATGAGACGCTGTCTCGCAAAGAGAACTCCTTTGGTAAAAGCATGCCCTGCACACAGCCTCCTCTCTGTTCCTCCCTTCCTTCCTCCCTCCCTTCCCTTTGGCTTACTTCCTGACCCCTGGCCCTGTGTCCAAAATTCTCCTGATTAAGAAAGGCAGCTTCCCATTGCGGAAGTTACAACGTCTGAGTCGACCCCAACCCGCCTCTGGCTGACTATGAGGTCTCAACTAATCTCTCTGGCTCCCCGGCCCAGTTTCCACCCCCCAGAACGTCTCCCTGGGGCTAAAATCGCAGGATCCCAGCAGCTCCAAAAATATGCCCCCCTGCTCAGGAGTGCAGGCCTGGGGGAGCAAGCTGAGGGCAGTGGCCTCCCTCCCTGGGACTCACGCTCTGTGCAGTACTGGCCCTTCCAGCCAGGGTTGCAGACTTTCTCTCCTCTCTCCCCGCAGGTGAAGTGGCCGAAGGCGTCATCTCGGGGGCGGCAGAAGACGGAGCAGCCTTCCCCGAAGTAGTGCTCATCACACACAAAGCGATAGGAGTACTTGAGGTCTGTGCGGCCGCTGCTGTGCAGGTCCTGGGACCACTCCTCGCCAACCGTCAGGTGCCTCTGCGTGGCCAGGCGGCTGATAAGTCTTTCTGGGTTCTCTGTAGAAAGAGGACGCCCCGTTGGTTCTGACTGAGAACCCCGAAGCTTGGGGAATTGGGGAGAAGGAAAGGATGCCAGGCAGGGAGGCTTAACCCTTCTCCTGGACCTCCCAGAGGAACTGGCAGAATGAAAGGCGTAGACACTTGTTTCCAGGAAGATTTGAAGTCAAATACATACTAACTAGGGAAGCAGTTCACATAGTTTGGGAGTTTGGGGGGATTGTTTGTACCTGTTGCAAGGTCATCAGGAGAATCTGTGTGGAGAGCTTCAATGATCAGAGAGAAGGTTCCCTGGAGGAAGGACAGAAAGACAGAAGACAAACCAGAACTGTTTACAAAAGAATCAAAGGATCCCAGGCAACCCAGTGACTGCAGATCCGTGCGCAGCGTGTCCTGGGGAGGGTCTGTGTACCTCTCTTGCCTGATTTCACTTTCCTTAAGGATATGGAACAACTTTCAAGAGTGGTTTCCTGACATGTTTTTTCAGCCTGTTAATACAGGATATCATGTTTGAAAGAAAAGAAAGAAGACCGAGGAGCAGGCGGGGCTGGAGGGGCTTGTGTGCAGTCTTCTGGGGAAGGAGTCAGGGAGAGGAGCTGGGGGCGGCCAGGCTGCGAGGGCGACTGACAACCGGCCGGTCCAAGAGCTGCGGAACTGGGATTCTCCCACGTGAAGGGGTCCTTTCAACTCCGCGGCTCGGCGCGCAGACCGGACACGGAAATGTCCCAGGACCTCGGCCTCTCCGCCTCACTCTACCCTGGCTGTCACCCCGCGCACCACCCCCTCGCCTCTGCCAACGCCTGTAAGTCACCCGGGCGTGGAGGCGGTGCCCCAGGGCCCCGCAGAGCGTGGCGCCCACCGGCCCGGGCACTCCCCCGCCGCGCCCCGGCCTCCCGGTCCTCCCCGCCCGCCCCGCGCCCTCAGGTGCGGCGCTCACCGGCCAGGTGAAGCCAAAGGGGAAGCGGATGGGGTTGCTGAAGGCGGGGTCCGCGCCCGCGCCGTCTGGGAGGCTGAAGGAGTCGATGCCCAGCACCGGGGTGACGGCGCTGCCGTAGGTGCAGGGCGGCTCGGGGGACACGCTGGCCTGGTAGTGCTTGAGGCACACGCGGAAGAAGGTCCTGCAGGCGCAAGGCGGCGGCCCCGCGCCCCCGCGGCAGCAGTTGCGGTTCCCCAGCAGCCCCTTCTTGTTGACGAACTCCTGCAGCTTCAGCTCGAACACCCCGGAGCTCCAGACCTGGGGGCGAGACGAGGGCGTGGGGCGCCTGGCGCGGGGATCCCGCCCGGCCGCGTCCTTCCCTGGGCGCTGCCCCCCGCGCGGCCCGCTCCCCGGGGTCCCCCCCACCCGACGCCACAGGCCACCGGGGCGTCCGGCTGACAGCCCACCCGACGGCGCGGCCCCGGGGCCCCGCGTGGCAGCTCACCTGGCACAGCAGGGCCGAGAGAACGGCGAGGGCCAGGGCGCACCGCCCGCCCATGGTGCACCGCCCGCGGCGCCGGCCCTCCTCGCGTCCCCCCGCCTTGTCTTCCGAAGTCGTCAGGGGACGCTGGAGGAGGAAGGTGTCCCCGGGAGCTCGGGCAGGAAAGCGCCGCCGCTCTGCCTAGGGCCGAGATAATCCGGACTTCTCTCCTGAAGGGTCCGGCTCCGGCTCTTTCGGAGGCCGAGGTTCCTTAGGTCCTCCTTGAGGAGGCGACAGCGGCCCCGGGGATGCGCGAGAGATAAAGGGGAGTCTCTCCGGAAAGACAGCTCCTGGCGCGGCAACTTTCGGTTTTCCCTTCTTTCTTCCAACGAGCGAGTAGGTAGGGGTCGTCTGCTTCCTGGTTTTGTCTCAAGCTTGTTGGCCGGGGGAAAAAAAAAGAAAGAAAGAGGGGAGAGAAAGCGTCCAGATATTCAGCCCGATTCCCAACGAGCTGCAGGGCTCCCCACGAGTCCGTTTATCGAGCTGCGGTCTGGAAATCCCACGCGCGAGGCAGTAATCCGGGGCCGTGGAGCGGGAGCCGCCCGGCCGGCTCACTCGGGGGCGGCGGTCCCGGGAGCGCCCTGGATCCGAGGCTCTCCCAGGGACCCAGCCAATGCCATCCAGGTCAACGCCCGGGGTCCCGGACCGGGTCGAGGCGGAAGCTGCGCGCCTGGCTGTGCGTCCAGTGCGGCGCCGGCCGGGGTTCGCGGGCGCGAAGGGGCTCGGGCTCTCCCGGCGCCGCCGCCTTATATCCCGCTGGCCGCCCGCATGGCTAATGAGATGCAAATGAGCAGCCCCCCAATCTGGCGAGAGCTGTCACAAAGGAGCCACTTTTCCAAACCCTCCTCTCAATGGATCGCCAAATGGTCAGTGAGCTGTAAAATGTGCAACCCTCCTCCCCGCCCCCACCCTCCCCGCCCCCGGTCCTCCCCTGCCCCCGCCCCCAGCCCCCGCCGCCCGAAACGCACTCATTTACATTCCTGCAAAACGTTCACCGCAAGAATCCCCTCTGCGCCCGAGGCGGGTGCCGCCGCCCGGGCTCCTTGGCGCTGCCCTCCGGCCGCAGGCCCGCAGAGGCCCGGGACGCGCGGGGGCGGCGCTGTGCCCTGGCCCGGCCGAGAGCCGCCCGGCGGGTGAGGCCGCGTCCGGCCTTGGAAACCCTCCGGTCGCCGCGGCGCCCGCCTCCGTCCCCTCTCCGGCCGCGGCCGGGTCCTGGGGTGTGGGGGGAGGGGGGTAAGTCGGAAGCCCAGTCCCCAGTGTGCGGCCCCTCGGCCCAGGCAGCCTCTTCCTAAGGAGGAGTCTCTGGGGCGGAGGACCGGGGCGCAGGGAGGGGAGGGTGTGAGCAGTGGGCAGACGGTGGCCAAAGGGCAGCGGCAGTTTCGGGAAGTTTGGAAAGCTCTGACACCCAGACGCCTCCCGGACAGCGACTCTGCGTCTGGAAACGCAGAGGTGAGCGCGGCGCTCTCGGGGACCCCGTTTCCTCGAGCTCGGGGTGTCCTCGCACGGGTCGGCCGCCGCTGGGGGCGGGGTCCGGGTAGCGCCGAGGATCCTGACGTCTCCAACCGCCGCCCCCCCTTCGCCCCCAACACACACACACACCCTTCTGGGCGCGATTCGCGGCCTCCGCCACCTTTCCTGGGTCTCCGGCCCCTCTCTCCTGGGTATTCCCCCCTCGGCCTCCCTCTGCTTGGTAAAAAGTGAGTTTGGTGTGTGTCGTTCGCGTGGCTGTCATTAAGGCAGTCTGTTATTGTGCGCGGCTGAATCAGTGGCTCTTTGTGCGCTCAGCTGTATGGTAATGCAGACCGCACCTGCTCCCCGCACAATGCAGAGAGAAAGAGCTCCCCTCCGCGCGCGCGGCGGCCTCTGCAACAATGTCCGGCACATGTTCTAAAGCCTCTCCAGCATGGCCCCCCCAGCCCGCCACCTTCGCACAACCATCACCTTATTAGGTTTTTACGCGTCCATCAGACACTAGAACTTTTGTTTTCTTTTTTTTTTTTTTTTAAGGGAAATGAGTTTATTGGGAGGGCCGAGAACGCACGTTATCTCACAATGCGCTATCTAAGTTGCTTTCAAGCTTGCGGGCACAGTGCAGAATTGAGGTGGGGCAGGGACTCCCACTCTGGCATCCAGCCTCGCGCAGGGCTCACGTTGAGGTCTCTATCCCACCCCTATCTGCTCCTCCTCCCGTCTCCCCAACCCCCAACACCCGCGCAGCGTCATCCAGGGTGAAAGGTGTGAGCGTGGAGTAAAGGTCACGTTGATGAGCAGTACCGCGCAGGGCTCCGGGTTACTACGGCCTCGCCAGAGGTGTGCTGTAGCCGGCTTATTGGTAGGGACTTCACTGTCCTGGCAAAATGCGGCTTTCATTGTGGCAGATGTTGAGATCACATAACGCCCGGGGAGAGGGAAACTCCTCAAAGACCAAGCTGAAGTCCTCCATGGTCATCCCTCCAGCTGTTAGGCAACAGGCTCCCAAATACCTATCAAGTTTCAGGACAGATTTTAGGTTTTCCACTGTTGCCAGAGAAGCAAAGAATTAATCAAAAGTAATGTAACCCAAGGCTGAGGTGAGAAAGGCAGGCTTGGACCCCACCAGAACCCCCTACAGTTTGGCTCAGAACAAATGGAGACTTCAAACCTTCTTGTGGCCCCACGATGGTGGCAACCCCAGTGTGGCCGCCCGCTGGGGACTTTTTGAGGACTCACTGCATCACCACCCGGCTGGACCAGCGCGAATCCTAATTTAATCTTGCCACCTAGTGTCAGCATCCTTTTTTCACTACATCCATGTTTCCTCTGAAAGCTAATTTCTCAGAACTCTGCTCCCTAATGCATGGAAGCTGGTGTGTTTACGTGAGAGAGAGAGGGAGAGAGAGGAGAGGGAGAGGGAGAGGGAGAGGGAGAGAGGTGGGTGGGGAGAGCTGAGAGGGTTCCGGGAGCAGGAGGGGGCCAAGGAAAGGAACATGAGATCTAAGTCCTCTGTGCTTCCAGACTGAGAGTAGATTTCAGTAAGAAATGAAATATCAGGAACCTTTTAATTAGAAAATGGAAGTGAGAAACAGGCTCATTTGAATAACTGTTTAGAAAACTGGAAATAAAAAGTTCCACGCGCAAGGGCTTAAACCTTAGGGTGGGGGGAAGACTTGCCCCAAATCTTTAACAAACCCCCCTCAGTATCAAGTATTTGTTAAATTGACATGGCACAGATTTCTCGATTACAGCGGCAAAGCGGAACTGAAAGGCATCGTAAAATCCATCAGAATCCTGCCCAAAGCGTTCATTCTTTTCCAGCTTAATTTATGCCACGCGATTCTGTATTGGGGAAATCAAGCAGAAAGCCCTTTTCTTGTCCTTTCTCTTCTTCTTGCTCTTCTTTCCTCCACTTTCTTCCTCTCATTCTCTCTCTATCTTCTTCTCCTTCTCTCCCCCCTCCCACGTTGGTCACTCTCCCCCTCTTCCTTTCAAAGCGGAGCTAACGGGAGACTGTTTAACTTCAGTGTTTCTATAGGAGTCTGTTGTAGTTTAACTCCTGCACACCAGTAGCTGAGATGAACAAAAGAGAGACTCGAGGTCCAACTATTCACCCTTTCTTTGCTCTTTAATTTTCATTGATTGGGAAGACAAGGGGAGCCCTTAGGGATTCAGGCTGAAGGGGGATGACACGCCTTTAGACGCCATCAGCCCCCTAGCCAGCCATCTGCTCTGAACCAAATGGCGTTGTTTCACTCCCTAACTGCATGTCTGTATACTCCCTCAACTAAGTGCTCTGAACCCCCTAAATGCAGGAGGGAGCTTAAGCTTGACTGTGTTAAATAGATTTGCCCCATGTTGGCTGTAGCAGCCAGATTCCCTCCTCCCCCACACTCCATAAATCCTCACCTAGCTCATTAGGAAAAAGCAGAAAACTTTCTTTTAAATACTTTTTGATGTCTCAGCAAATTTACTGTACAAAGTGAGGCTCATTAGGGCTTAGAAGGCACCCAATATATTAGACACAGGAGTGGAGAGAGGGATTTGCCGCCTGGTGTTGGTGTTTTATTTTTGCCAGGCATGCATAGCTTGTAGCCTGAATGACCCCAGTGATCAGGGTATGTTCAGTTGTATAATCAGAACCACGGCTACAACAACTGCAACTGAGTTCTCTATTTGTTGGAGACCCTGATTATTTTACCCACCATTTACTAGGCCTCATGGGAATAAAAGCTTATGACCATCATTTTATCAAATTAAATATGCCACTCTCAGCAGTGTGTGAGCTGACACTGTGGTCACCCAATCCTGTTTCCATCTCCTTTGCCCAAAGAAAGGTTCTGTTCCTGCGGAACATGTGTGGTGGAGGTTGTGGCTGGGGGAGGAGGGTCTGGGCAGATTGCAGTGAACAATGCCCAGAATAGGCTCCAGACTCTAGGCCAGACCCAGGTTCAGTTTTCTGTGTAAACAAGTCTGGAGACTTGAGGGGGTTTGTATTTTCTTAGGCCAACTGAATACTGTATACCCAACAGACAAGTTCTGTTATTCCTAAGAAGAATTAGGGTCCTTGTTCAGAACAAGAAAATGAAAAACTTCCAGGCAGCAAATCTGGTGTTGATCAAACATGCCAGCTTACTTGAAAAAGAAGAAGATGATGAAGGGAACCTAAAGCAAGTTTATTAATTGGTATTAGTATCACATCTCCACCAACACGCCCTCTGCCCAGTCTCCATCAGTCACAGGTTTGGAATCGTCCAGCCCTTAGGGAACAGAGAACTGGCCTGCTTGCTGGGCGTCTAGGGAGCTCTTACAGATATCTGTGTGTAAAACCTCATCCGTGCCGGGTAGCTGTTAGGGATATTTCCTTACTTCTTGAGGACTGAACCCCAGAGGCGCATGGACATTTACAAGACACACTGACTCGAATGTAGCACGGCGTTCGCACCTGATCACTCCGTTGCGTCTGGATCACTCTACAGAAGATAAACGGTAACCCGAGCCGTCCATTGGTCCACTGCGGGAAAGAGAGGCCGATCTAGTTTATACTCAGGCTCCCAGGCTTCCCTCTCGCTGAGGATAAAAATGTACACAGCACACCCAGGGAGGCCCCGCAGCTCGGCCTCCCCTGCCCTCACAGGAGCTTGTCCCTCGGACGAGGGGCGGCCCGCAGACACCCAGGACCATGACCTGTGGTCAGCAGGTTGGCGCGGGGCAGAGGCCACGAGGACAGGAGGACAGAGCCCAGGGAAAACCCAGTGGACTTGAGGCCTCCCCTCCACCCTCCCTTCCACCCGCGGTGAGTGTGGAAGGACGGCTCGGCCACGTGGTCCGGAGCGGGGACCCCCATGCCCAGGGGCGCAGCGCGGGCCGGGGTTGCGGAGGCATGCGCTGGTTTGCATGAGAAAGGCGGTCGCGTGGCTCAGCTGGCGGCGCGGAGGCCTCTCCTCCGACCCCGGGATCATCTGCCCGGCGGTCCGCGCTCATCTCCATGACAAAGCGCTGTTTACCTGGCGCGGCTCCGGGCGCCTTTGTCCGGATCAGATGACCGCGCAGCTGCTCCGCGCTCCCGCCCGAACGGCCCCTGACTGAACGCGCCGGGCCAGGCGCTCCGGAGGACTGCCTGGAGGGGGTGCGGCGCCGGTGGGCGCTCCAGAGAGCGGCTTGGAGTGGGTGGCGGCGGCAGGCCGGGCACCCGCCGCAGGGGCACGCGCGCGGGCTGGGAGGGCGAGGTAGACGGGCTAGCCCTGGTCCCCGGGCGCGCGGCACGGGGGCGCACGCGGTCACCTGCACCGAGGCGCGGCCCCACCTTGGGGTCGCCGGCCCGAGGCCGCGACAGACAATGCGGGTGGGAAAGGAAGGGCGGCGAGAGCGACCCAGGCCCGCCCGGGGTCTCGCTCCAGGACACGCCCCGCCCGGAGGTCGCCGGCACCTGTCGCCGGTCCCGGCGCCTGTCAATCACCGGCCCGCGGGGCGGGGCGCAGGCTGGGCCCGAACCGCCCGGACTCCGCCCCGCCCGCTTGTCCCCGCCGGACCCGAGCGGCTCCGCGCGGCTGCGCCGTCCTGCCCGGCCTCCCACCTCCTTTCTGCGAGCATCTGCCCGCAAAGGAACAGATGTGGGCACCTGCGGTGACAGGCCGCATATGTTCCATCCTATTCACAGGCATTCAGACGTGGCCACAATGAGCGGCCTTTGTGCGCACAGTCACTAAATATATTAATCTGCACTCCCCAGAGCACCGGGCTGTTTAATTTTTCACTAGCAATAACATCTGATCTAATCCTTAAATCGGCTCCCAAAAGCCTGCTCTCCCTCCCTCCTTTTTCTCCTCTTTCTCCCCACCCCCTCCCGAAAAACGTGTGAAGCTATTCAACCTTCCACCTGTTGCCTGCTGAACTGGGCGTGGGTTCCTGCAACGTCTGATGTCGGTCCGGGCTGGGGGTGGCGGTGGGGGTGGGAGCTGGCGGGGGCGACTGTGCGGGAGACGGTGCTGGGCGACATGGGCACCGCCAGGGCACGAGTATTAGAAGGAAAATAAACACAGCGTGCGAGGCTGTGGCTCGCGAATGTTGTGCAAACAAAGACCAATGATTATTAAACAACCTTCAGCATATTCATCCTCTCTGTGGAAGCAACTTAAAAATGTACAAGTTCCCGTTTACCTTTTTGTTTATTAAACTCTAATGGTTATTATAAACACCGGCCAATAGGCCACATAGCCCAAAGCGAACGTAAATCTCAGATGTATGACTTAGATTCCTTTTAGCAATATTGTTGTATGACTCTTTTATTTCAGCATCTCGTATTCTGTTTTGGTTTGTTTTCGGTCACAATGATTCCCTTAGTGCCATTGTGGGTGTCACAATGCAGAGGGACATCAGGCTGTGAATGAAGACAGAGGCAGTTTAAACAAACGGAGCTCTTTCTTTCCTCTCCCGTCCATTGTACTGTGAATGGGCCTTCTGCACTCTGCTGCTAGGAAACAGCTTTGCAAAGCCCTACTCTAGTAAATGGGCTGGAGAGAAAGGGACCCCAATAAACAGCCTAAGTATTGGAGAAAAAAGGGGGACAAATTTAGGCAAATGTTCCTTCACCTTCACATCAGCACATTTCCTAATCTCCAAATGTAAGACATACTTTAAAGCTTTTCAACAGTTTCCTTCCTGCTTGTCATTTTAATTCTTGCTCCCTCCCCTCCCCCACCTCACAGGAAACACGGAGTGGGGACAGCACTGGCTCACCATCAAGATCTGTTTTCAAAATTCTATTTTGTCGTAGGAAAATAGGATGGGGCCCAGGGCTGTTTCTCAATAATCATCACTATGATTGTAAACTGCTCTCCAAAGGGATGCACGGAGGTGTTGCCAGGTACATAGCGGTATGGTTGGTGAGTCTCAATACTTAAGAAACAATCATAAACTATAAATTGTTCTTGTGTAGTTGGAACTGTTCCTATTAACATAGGTAGGTTAATTGAAGCAAGAAATGTAGCTGTTTTCAGGTCAAATAACAGCTTGAGCACCTTAGGGAATGACCCACCACCACCACCTGCATTTCTCATGGGTTTAAACCAAGTCATAGGTCACCACTGAACCAAAGACAGTCAAGGCACATGGGAAACCACGACTGGCTTATCTCAATCACCGTTCACAGCTGGGGCTACTCTCAGACCCAAAGCACATGGCAATGAGAAGGCCAATTCAGTCATTTATTCATTCACCCACTCACCACTCAAGGGACTGGAGGTCTAAAGTGAAATCAGACCTGCTTTCTGCCACCAGATGAATGGTACAAGGAAAGAAATGTTCCCTGGTCTTTGATTTTCAGAAAGTTTGTGTAGGATTAATGTCTTCAATGTTTGAATAGAATTCACCAGTTGAGACCACCAGGGTCTGGAATGTTCTTTGTTGGAATATTTTTACTTACAAATTCAACTTAATAAATATAGGGTTTAAGAGATAGAGATACAAAGTTACCCAGATTTTCTATTTGTTCTTTTGTCAGGTTTGGTAATTCGTTTGGTTCAAGGAATTTCTTCATCTCATCTAAAGGTATTCAGATAGCTTCCTTTTAACCTCTTCAGTGTTAGTAAATCTGTGATACCATCTCCCATCCTTATTATGGGTAACCCATGTCTCCTTTCTATCATGATCAATTTAGCTAAAGGTTTATCAGTTTAATCGATCTTATCAAAGATCAGTCTTCAAGAATCTTCATCCTTCACTTCCTATTGCCTAGTGTCTGAAAATAGTAATTTCATATATTTTTATCTAGTTTTCTAGTTGTTTAGAGTGGAAGGAACAGTTCTGTAGGATTTATTCCTTCATGGACAGAGCTGGAACAGTTAACAGTACTTTGGGCTGCAGGTAACAGAAAACTCTAATTCAATATTCTTAACTGTAAGGAAAAGACTTCATCTCATAGGATAAGGAGGTAGAGTGGTCTGAGTTAAAGTTTGGCTCAACCACATCGTCAAGGCACAGAATACCCCCCCGTCTGTCTGCTCCACATTTCCTGTCTTGCTGGCTTCCAACATGGATGAGCTCTCTTTTGTGACCGCATGAAACCTTTAGGGATCCAAGCAGTCATAAACAGACATGAGGATAGCTGGTAGAGGAAGTGACACTCTTTTTCAGCGGTAAAGCAATTCTATATTTAACATCGATCACCTATGTAGAATTGTTTTCAAGGTTGTGGCCTTTTTTCTTGCCCAAATTTTTGGAAACATTATACTCTCCCTTAACTTCTCCCTATGTTCAACCTGCAGTTTTTTCCTTCCGTTTTCTCCTGTTTTTCTCTTTTATGTAAATCCTTCATCCTCTGTTTTTAGATTCTCCCCAAACTGATAAATCTGATGTGTACAATAGGGCACAGGAAAGTGTTTATAGGTGGTATGACGCAGAAGGTGGGGAAAAGGATTCGAACAGTCACATGTAAATGTTTGTGCTCCTTTTACAACTGATTTCTATGTACAATTTTTCTTTTAATATCCCAGGAAAGAGACATGGAAATAATCTTTGGCTTCTCCTCCCCTTCACTGTAATGTATTACCGTCATAAAATATTTTAAGAAAACTGTTAGAATTTAGACAAGATTTGAGTAATAATTGTGCAACTTACTATCACTGTACATGCAACTTACTTTTTAAAACAGTGTAGTTTCCTTTTAATTATATATTTCCTTTTAATATGCCTACGGATTTTAAAATTCAAATAGTACTTCTAGATTTACAACAAAAACATAGGAATTTCCCACACCATGCATTCCCACTTTCAATTTTTTCCTGTTTACCTCATAGCTATTTTGTTTGAAATTTACTCATATTTCTTTAAAAGAAATTTTCTAATGCTGTATCTTTTTCAGCTGTGTACAGTCTATAAACTTCCAATTCTAGAAACTGAAGGTTTAACACTTCCACAGGATTTCCGAGACACACAGTTACGAATCCATAGATGATCACCTCTCATTTTTTCAAAAAGTTACAGCACCCTTTTCATTAGGTTACCATTACTTACCTCATTAAAATTATGGAATCATTATTCACAGCTGAGGCATATGCTATGATTACATTTTCTTCTTTGTACAATTTGTCTTTACTGGATTCAACAATTGCCTAATTTGCTTATTGACTTTTCTATGTATCTATTATATATTGTCACCAAACTCTGTAGATCTCCTCTTAAAATACTCAAACACCCCAAGCATTCTATGGACTGACTTTTCCTGGAGATGTGTGTCTAGATTTTGTCCTGAGGTTTCCCACCTCTCTTCACTTGGATTCCCTACTGTCTGGATCCTAAATATTCCTTTTTCTTGGCCTCTTAAATTTTGGAGAGTATCCTCCAGCAGGTATCTGAGATAAAGTATTTGGTAGATAATATTTTTGAACTGTATATCTGAAAAAAATCTTTACCCCCACACTTATAACTAATACTCTGATTTTGAGTAGAATTCCATGTTTTATTTTCTTCAGAGTTTTGAAACTTAGTGCTCCACTGAATTTCAGTTTCCTGGAATTCTGTTGAGACTTTCCATGCCATCCTGGTTTCCAATCCCTAAATGTATCCTGTTTTTCCTTATGGAAAGTCTTTAAGGCCCTTTGTCCCTGGTATCCTGACATTTAGTGATACTGTGCCATCCTGTGAATCTTCATAGGTTTGTTGTGCTGGGCATTGCTGGGTCTCCTTCTTATGTTTTCCTCTTTCTCTATCTCTTTTTCTTTTTGTTCTATTATCCAAGAGTCATCATCAAATTTATCTTCTCTTTAATCAATTTTTAACATTTAACTTATTGCTTTTTAAAAAAATTCTCAAGAGCTCTTATTTTCTGAATGCTCTTTGATATACCTTTTCTTTTTCTTTCACTGATAAATTATCTCCAAAAGCACAGATAATAAAGTTTTT